ATATATATGAGCTGTTTATTCCAGTTAATCTAAAACTGTTGAATATTGGCTTTGCAACAGCTCTTTGAACTTGTCTTGCTAAAGCTTTAATTTAATCATAATCAAAGACAAACTTGCCAATAAGTAGCCATCTTGGTCGCATTTTCAGGCAGTTATTTTATTAAATTATCTTAAATTTAGGAGTCAAAACGGATTTTCTTTTCAAAGCAAGGTTGCTGACTCTGCTCCAAAGCAGTTAGCCTATACTTGTACTGTCATCTTTGCTTGGACCAAGGAATTTTCTTTGTCTTAAATGACATTACAGCCAGCCAGAGAGAAGCGCTTAAAGAATTCTAGTGATTTTGATCAGATTTGACCGTCGTGTCCACATATACAGGTTTTATTTCCCTTAGAGCGCTAAAATTAAATATTTTCATACATCAAACTCCCTGCCCTGTCTAGAAACACGTGGTTAGAACTGGACACCAGCCACCGCGCAGCTGCGGATTCTGGTTTCGATGGAAACGTATCATTTGGACAAAAACCGCAGTGGTGGATGTATTGTGCACAAAGTCGTCATTATCCGAGTACAAAGTAAGTCAAAAAAAGTGTCATATGTGTAATGTTTTATATTACTGTAGTTATATTTAAGTTAAGGGAAGGAAAAGTTTCAAATGTACCTTTTGAAAATGTATTTATAAAGTTTTAAAAGTTTCGTATTGCGCTTTGAAACCACGTCTTTTTTCTTTTTCTTTTTAAATTTACTGTCTGTCTTTTGGTGATGGTGATACTTTGTGAATAAGCGCAGGCCTGAGGTAATTATTAACGTATTACTTATTAAATAAAATTATTAAACATCATTTGTAAATCCAAGTTCATTTGTAATGTTAAACTTTAGTGTGATTACAAAACAATGTTGAAAAATAACTTTGGAGTTTTGAAGTGCACATTGAGTGGAAAAATAGTCTCTTAGGGACACTTGTTCACATTTTTGGTTACACACATGTCTAGTTAGCCAATCACAATCACGGCAGCTCAATGCGTTTATGCAAGCAAACACGGTGAGTGTTTGTTTGCATAAACGCTGAATTTCAAAACTGAGCATCAGAAGGAGGACAGTGTACACAACGTTTGATGGCTTCCTCCAGCAGGACATTGGACCATGTAACAAAGCTTAAATATTTCAAACTGGTTTCTCAAACATGATAATGAGTTCACTGTACTCAGATGACCACCACAGTCACAATATCTCAACCCAATAGATGATCTTTGGGATATGGTGGCATGGGAGATTGATGTTATGGACGTGTATCTGAAAAACCTGCACTAACTGTAATGCTATCATGTCACTGTGGACCAAAGTCTCTGAGGAAGGTTTCCAGCACCTTGTTGAATCTGTGATGGGAAGAATTAAGCAAATAAGGTGTAACAGATGAAGTGTGTAGCGTAGGTATTTTGCTCTCATAAAAATAAACCTGCTTTTGATGTCCAGCTTATTTACTTGCTCTTAAAATCTAAAAATAAAAATGATTTCATTGTATAATTGCTATTCAGACTCCTTCCAGACAGGCTATTTATTTACAATAAATAGCAGATAATTTGTGTCAGGTTTAA